TCCAGGTGCTCTGATGAAACCCAAATGCTTCCATGTTGTCCACCTATCCTTTTAACCTTTGCTTTCAGTCAATTCTTGTGTCTTCTCATTTCCTCTTCACTCAGTTGCAGTTCTTGAGGGAGTAGTACTCCTGATTCACGTATCATCACCCTAAGCATAACTGTCACAGTTTGCAAATTATAAAACACTAAAAGAAGAAATTCAGACAGATGTAATTATGTTGACCACAGCAAGCTGTACGTAACTGCTAACAGTATCATTGTGGTCTTAACGTTTTATTGAACAGTCTGTATGTAAGCTGAACATTCCTTAATAGTCACACAATACAATCACCTTTCATAATTTTTAGTGTTTTACGTTATGGTATTTGCATGCTACACTAATGGACTTGGTAAGCTTCTTTGCAGCATGTATTTTCCTCATGCCTAGTTTGCTGCATAAAATTCTTTAACTTAGAAAATTGTTCTTAAGAAAACTCATCCTACTTGAAGGATACTCATCCTACCCCCTAAAGCAATCAAAATCAAATTTGTTACATACTGTTAAAAATCAATGACAGTTCTATGGATAATGCATAAAGCAGTAATAAACTAGAATTTGTCTATATTATGAAAAACATAATTTTATACTTTTATGAATTTAAAATGTGCTCTTATTTTTCAATATATTTAGTATACAAAAAAAGAACTAAAAATATTTTAACAGCTGTAATAGAACAGCAGTTTACCCCAAAATATGGTCTAGAACCCAAAATTTTTAATCACCTTCTTCAAGTTATACATGATATGTATCAAGTATATATCATGTGCCAAGAGCTTTAATTCATACAATATTTACAAAGGGAAAGAGTTGTGTTTTGTAATTATTATGCTTCACTCAAGTCCAGTTAGGGAAAAAAAGTGTTTCCCTGAAGTTATGGCATTCTTATAAATTTTATATTTCAACTATTTTATGCTCAAACTCGGTTTCTGGTGTTATTTTAAAACGTCTATGATTCTATACGAAATACTTTGGATTTGTTTAATGTTACTGCAATACGCATAGCCCTTTTTAGAGAATATAAGAACTTCAGTATTTTTTCCTACCTCAGACTTAAGGTGTCATTCTGTTGTTTTATTAGGAAATGGTCTTTAATTTCTGAGAATGGGAAAGATTGATTCATGCAATCAGCAACAATTCTCCCGTCGACTTCTGTGGTGGCAGGATTAGGCTTCCCTTGTACATATTTGCAAAATTATTCTTACGAAACATACTTACTTTACTCACAAAATAAAGCTGCCAATATCTCATTTGTGTTTCAAGGAAACATTTTTACTGTAAAAGGCTGTGCATTATAATGCTTAATAAACAAGTGGCTGAACAAAGAAACCCAGTTCCAACTGACTCTGGTAAGAATACTCACAGATTTTCTGCTATGCAAACTTTAAATGCTTTTGCAGTCAGGCACCCAGTATCCTGTAGTTCTCATTCCACAGTGTATTGTCGTATGACCCTGAAGGCTCCTCTTGCCATCTCTGCATCATTTCTTGTCAGACAAGCACAGAAGTGCTGAAACATAACACTATTCAAAACACCTCTAGGCCTGGTCCTGTCCTGCATTTTTTTTACATACAGAAAAGTACTTTTTCAGTCAAGTAGATTTTTGATTACATAAAAATATCCTAGTTCTGATTGTGTGCAGATTTAAATGTGCTTAATAAACAAACACCGAGATCAACCAGTGGCATTGCAAAGTGTGCAAAGTTAAGCACGTATTCAAGCCTTCCTGGGAGTAAGACCTGTATTACAAGAAGTACGTTTTATAAATATATCCACAGATTAAATAGCAGGGCTTTTTTACCCATTCCAAGGTTCCTATTTACTTTCTTGGGTCCTCTGCATAAGCTGGATGAGGATTTCAGAAACCACACAAAACACCACGAAGAAAGATTTTTAGATTCTCTATTTTTTAGCATTTCTACACAGTACTAATGTCTCAACAACTCTATTCAAACTGATCAAGGTCTAGAGTTTGCGGTTCTTCCTCAGTCTGTGTTGGTACAAGCTCACATTCAATTCACAATTAAAACTAAAGAGTAGGCTTAGCATTTGCCTTACTGTTTTTAATGTGAGGGATAATGTTGTATGGCTTTTGTCTCATATTCTTAAGGAAACAAAGGAACTCACAAAAATGGTATGAGACAAATTAGACAGTTTTAAGATCAACTTTTATTGAAAAATTTAAACTGCATTGCATATCTTCTTTATAACTTCGACATTTCTTAAACCATAAAACAGAGATTCTCTTTAAAAAATCTCTTCATATTTGTCACCATTCAAAAAACAGATTGTAAACTAAGTCAATGATAATTTTAAAATCCTGGGTTATTCCCAAGGCCCATGGTTCCATCTGTCTGCCATGAATGGTATAATCTAACTATCTTCACTAAAAATTACCTTTAATAATACAATCAGAATTTTTCTCATTCAAAATCAACAGCTGCTGTTGATTTTTATCCAATGGTCAATCTTTTCCAAATAAATTACATCAGTTAATAAGCACTGCAGCTACATGTTCAGCTAAGATCTTGCCTATTGTTTATATGATCTGAATTCACCCACACAAAATTACAGTGATTGTCCGTGTGATTTTAAAGGCAAAATTGCTACCTTGGAGTATATTTTAAGCCTCAGAAAAACAAAGTTACTCACCTGGAATTGCAATGCTTTGAATTAGCCAACACTTCTGTATATCCATACTTCCTGATCTCTCACAGTTAATAGTGTATGGATTAAAAAGCAGGAAAATTCCAGGTAAGCTTTTGTCTGAGAAGCTGTAACATATTACTCAGATGAAAATTACCTACTGAGAAGAAAACACAGATGAGTTTTCTCACTGATGACCGTAACTGCTCTGTTAAAATTAGCTAACCAAGTTGGAAATTAATATGAGCCCTGTGCCTGTGGAAGCAGGTACATCTAATAGGGAAACACTCCAGAGTCTGATATTAGAACTAAAAGCTTTGCAAAAATCTAACTGTGAGTATCATCTGTGTCAAGACACAGCACTGCAGAAAGGCAAGATAAAATGCAGAGGGTAGGAAGATAAATCTAAACACAGAGAAAATACCTCTGTGTTACTGGTCTCACTTCTGAAACAGGCAGGAGAAGCTCCATTATTCCCACCTAGCTGCAAACTGTCAAGGGCAATAGGTAGAACCTCTGATGCTTTTGACCTCCCAAATACAAGATACTCTATTAAATGAGGAAGCAGAAATTTTAGTAAGCAAAACATTGTATATGTGCTGAAGAGGTCTAGATCTATTTCTGACTGTATCACAGGACTGTCCAAGTCTTGCTGTATGAATGCCAGTAAGCCACATTATGGTCTTTCCTATAGTTTCATGATCAGTTACATGAGGATGATTCTCTTTACCTAGTATGTATGCTCTGAGGAAATACAACATTTCAAATACAATAATTATCATTACAATATTGAGATGGTGATCTGGATACAAGGTCCACGAGGTTAAAATATTAAGGTTAGAGGATTAAGGGTAAGTTGGGAACCTTAGTAACAGTATTGCTGAAATATCTTGACTGGGGAGATGGAGAAAGTCAGAAATTCCCACCTAAGAACTGGTTGAAGAAATCACAAGGGCCATGGTGCTGCTTGTGTGGAAGACATAAAATCCCCTAGTGAAGCTAGGTCAGCAGTTATACATATTTGTATTGATTATACTAGTTCGTATTGTTTCTCATAAACAAGGAGGACTGAGGGAAATCTTTCAATCTTCTCTAGCTGCCCTTTGAATAAAGTAAAACTGTGACAGAGACCAGATTTCAGCCAGAAGCCTGTAAATTAAAATGTTCTACTACTTCAAAACAAACTTATTTCTGTACTCTAAAGCCAGCTGTCAATGAGAGGCCCTCTAGTTTTGATGAGTAGCTGCTATCTATAAAGAACGGCATTTAATATTATGGAAGTTGGTAATGAAGTCAATGTTCACACTGACTACTTCTGAATTGCAGGCCTCAGGTCATACAGCATGGATATTTACATCAAGAAATGTTAAGTACTGAAGACATGGTAAGATATCAGGGTTATAATTAAGGAGGACTGAGGTTTAAGATCAAGAAGGCAAGAGACCAACTACGGTGTCTTGAGAAAAATAACCTAATGAAAAAAATATTGTACTGATGAGATTACTGGGGGGTTTCATGGCATAAAAGTAACAAGTTAGATGATATTTTGAAAGTCATACTCAAATCTAGAAGACTGACAAATTTATAATAATTTTTAGATTCAACTCAAATAATTTCAATAGAAGGTTTTACAGAAGGTTATGGAAGAGTGATAAGCAATAGTCCTATGAAAAGCTGGAAAGGCTGTGCTATATGATACAGCATTTACCATGACAGCTGCTTCCTTCTCCCTGCTCTGACCCAGCCAAAGATGTGAGACAGCGTCCTCAGAAGACAACCAGTGGGACCTGCAGGATGGTAATCTCTCCTGGTGTAGCTGTCCTTCCACAGGACTGAAGGGGTTCAGAGAGGCTGCAAAAACTGCATAGCATGACCGCATTTCACTGAATGTTTCTAAAATAATTTAATTTTCTTATTGATTTGGGAAAAAAAAAAGAAAAGAAAAACCAATTAATTACTGACTTGCATAGAAGATAGCCATAGAATCATGTATAAAAAGATTTGAAATTAGCATATTCCTTTTATCACCATGACAGTAACTCAGTAGATTATTGAATCTTCATTTTGTTCCACTACTCTGCTTCCAGTATGGAGTTTTCCACTCGGTAGTATTGATTATCTAATGATTAAAACTGAACAAGCTGCAGATGACTCTGGTGTCTATACTTTGAAAAGTCTAGCCAGTTGAAATTGTTGTGACATGCCAGCTGTATTTAAAGATTCTGAGATTACTTTTGTTTTTATTTATTTTATAAGCTCCAAACACATATTGAATTCCATATCACTAAAAGAATGGTGCTGGTTAAAACTCCCACAGAATTTAGTTAAAATGGTCATAGAGATTAGTCCTGAAATACAACTCAAAAACAGGGGCCTTGGTTAGCAACCAATATGCACTAGAAAAGCATTCAGAACACTGAACAGACAGTCTGACATTACAATAAATAAAACTGAAAATTCTAATAGATTAAAGGGATCTCATCATTTGACAGTCTATACACAATGTTAGAATTCCTTATATTCAGTAAAATTATCTGTAAGTTATAATTTTAAGGGCACTAGGATTTAAATCAAAGTGTCAACTAATATTTTTGTATTTTTTTCTTTGGCTCACAAAGACACTAAAATACCATAAACATTATTTAGAACTTCAATAATATATAAATAGGATACATTACAAATGGAAGAAAATACAAGACAACTCTTCAGCATGGTAAATCTCTGCATATAAATAAGCAAATATTTCATATACCTACAATTCAACAGTTATCTTGCTGTAAAACTATTACATTTAAATCCTTTTACACAAAGTCATTTAACAATAATATACACAATCTACACAAATTAACCTCTAAAAATACAGCCATAATATACCTGTTACAATGACTCTGCTACTATTATCCCCTGATGTGACACTAAAGGGGAAATACAACTATTTTACTCAAAGGTGCTGTTAGAGATTGCTGTTTTGTACGTGAGAGAAGCACCAACAATAAGATTTAATACTGTTATACATTTTCTTTAGCTCCTAAGAATCTACATTTTAGAAATGTTTCTATATGTCTATTTTTATCTGGCAGAAAAATTTGTAGCACATTATCCACATCGTTAGTTGTTGAAGGAAAAGTTAATTCTCTTAAAGTGGAAAACATGCTGTGGCTTAGATCTAAGTTTATAACCACTTTTTATATATATATGTATGTATATATATATATAATTATATATATTTATTTATACTGTACATATATACTGTGCAGAGTTCTTAATTTGCTATTTTAGTACTTATTAATTTCCTGCTGACTACAATAAACAAGACCAATGTAAGAGTCAATAGTACTTCAACTTCAAGATAATACATTTTCCCTCAGTAATATGATCTACCAATACATATATGTTTCAGTAGCCTATAGTCGTTTTGTTTAAGAATGTCTTAGGAGATCAGAACTTAGAGAATTTCCTTAAAACATGTTCTACAGAACTGGGTTAAAAAAATAGCCAGTGCTGGAAAACAGTGACTTGGAGAAATAAATAATTCAACCACTGTACTACAGCTCCTGCCCCAATCTTTCTATTTCCTCAATGAGGAAGTCAATGTCAGACTTAGTTGCTGCTGGGTTTGAGATGACCATTCGGAAGAAGTTGACTTTATCGCCCTGAGGCTGATATCCAACCATGGTAGTACCTGACTCCATCATCAGTGCTTTGATTTTCGGTGCCACCTTTATCATTTAAAAAAAAAAAAAAAAAAAAAAAAAAAAAAAAAAGAGAGAGAAGAGTAATTAAAAAAATTTGTCCTTTCTTTGTCTGTCACAACATTTCTTAATTTGGAAAAAATAAATGGACAGATCAGAAAGGCACTAGTTTTTATAAAAAGATCTGTAAGAGAAAAAGCTTGAAAAACAAAGTATGTAGGACTGACTATTTAAAGGAAAATTGACAACACTATCTATCTTTTTGATTAATAGACTAAGAGCATCCTAGAGTATTCACTACATAATAATTCTATATATTAAATGTATTAAGTGTACATGTCATTTCTTTGTGCTGAAGACTTTGTCATGAAGAAATGTTTTCTTTTTATGAAAACCTACTCCAGAACCACCTTTCTGAGGGTAACGGATGTTTTCCGTGAGAGTATTATGTATTATCAAAGTCATTTTCTAGGCGTGGAGGTGGGGAGAACAACAACAATGGAAATTTTTCAACAAGATCTATGTCATAAACAGTATTTTCTGTTACCATAAGCCGTGGAAACCTTCCAGTAGTTTTGCAGTACTGTGCATTTACTGCAATCTCACTTCCTCACTTTAATTTACAAGGAATAATGTTCTGACAATCTTAATATTTGGTATTGACTGAGCCCAGTTTTTCCATCCAGACTATCTTTCTCCTGCTCTGCTCTCTGCCAGCCAAGGTCAGATGACTGGCTCTTCTACTGTTTTGCAGGATGCTTTATAATGTCCTCTAACATTTAACAGTGACAAGTCAAACACTTCATCCTTCTTTCCAGTCTTATCTATCTTCCTCTTTTCTCTCTTTTCTGGCAATTTCTTTATCTAACATGTCACTTGGTTGACCCAGGAATTTCTATTCTCTTCTGTTCTCTTTCCCCAGTGTGATGCAGACATAAAATCCGCTACAAAACCTCCCAAGTTTGCCCATTCCTCTCCCTTCCCAAATAAAAAAAAAAAAAAAAGCAATTCATTTTGACAACTATAAAATCATTCTTTTGTCCCCTGAATCTATTTCATTCCAATTCTGTCTACCTACAAAACTAATGTATTTCACTTCCCTCAAGTCCTAAGTAACCCAATACTTTTCTTGGTGGTGCCTCTACGATGCCTTCTCTTCCCTCTATCATTTCTTCAAATAAATTTATCCCAAAGTCCTCCAAAGGGTATTCATTTTCACTGAAATGTGTTAATGCATGGCTAACCAAGCACATTTAAAATCAAAATAAAGACGTGACAAGGACTTACAGGTTTCCATTTCCTTTACCTGTCCCAGCATTTTCAAGTAATTACCTTTTCATTTCTCTTGCTGATATGCTGTCCTACTCAAACAGGACTGGGACATCTTTATGCCTAGCTACTTTTTAAAGATTCATAACACTTTTGGGAGCACAGAAGCGATACAAAACAAAGAATAACTGAGTATGTCCTGTATCTAGTTCTACAGGGGAAACACGACTTCAACCTCAGTATAAATAGGAGACAAAGGTGAACAAATATCAAGGTCATAACAAGCAATTGGAGAACTGATGTCCCAGAATTTGGAACATGTGTCAACACACAGATATGTTATTTTTAATAAACAGAATACTTTGTGTTGAAAGAGTAGACTATATTTTAGTATTTAACAAAAACCACATACCCTGTGTAACTTTTCTCTTCTCTCATCACAGTCTGGCATGCCCCTGAGACTTGGCGGAATATACCAAAAACATACATTTGTATGCTCTGGCTGCAAAAAGAACCAAACACATACATCAGTAAACAAAATAATACAGATCACTCACACACTAAAGGCTAATCAGTAGCATATTTTAACATAGACATGAAAGACAAAATATAGTATTAACTTTCCTAGTTCTGCATGTTAAACCAAAATAAACGGATTACAGTACTGCTGGTTGCACCTGCTGGTTTAGATTCTCTATACATTGTCCTATTTACAATGTTTTAGGGTGCTAATGAAGTGCAGATGCTTTTTCACCTACACGCAGTTTTACAAGGAACTGTTTTCCAGGATTGCAGCAAGCGCAGCCAAATTTTCCTTTTCGCAGTAAATGGAGATACAAAGTATATTTGTTATTTTATCAACCAAGAGCTTATGCAGTGGCACTAGCAACAGAACATACAGCAAAAATAGCAGATGCTCAGTTACGTATGTTATAAAGTGGAATCTCAGCATGAGTAGCTTGTATTAATGTTGTCTTCATGCCCTAAACTGAGAAGTCCTCTGCAGAAGAGAAAGAGGAGACAAATCAGACATTTATGGTACAAAACCACATGGGTATTGGCCAAAAAACTGCCCAGATGCCAATAGTCATGTAGTTCTCTAGAAAATAAGAGCAGTTTTGCATAGCTGGCTTGCAGAACTGTAAGAAGTATGAAGACTGTTTTCAAAATTCCATACAGATTTGGCTCCTACACACAGGTTACATGAAAGAAAACTTACCTCCCCTTCAAAAACCATCTCAAATTCTTCTCTGTTTTTGATTTTAGTGTAGAGATATTCTGCCAGCTCCAGGCATTTGTTGATCTGATTTTCAAATCCTACTGTACCCTGTTTTAAAAAGAAAGTATTAATTGTATGGTCATTTTTCCCTCCTCCAATGCCATCACCTTTTCAGATAGGCTTCACCCTTAAATGTTTTCAGTCAGAAAACATTTAGCAGTATTACTTCTTGTAATTTAAAAGTAAAGATAATCAACACTACAAAAGTGGCTAAATGTGGCGAACTGTAATCACTGTTTGGTTTTGGTCTCATTTTAAGAGAATTTATTATGAAAATAACAAGGGATTTTTATATTTTTAATAGATTATTTTCAGCTCCTTTTTTTTCAGTTTCCAAAAATATTATGAATATTACGTCTTGGCTTCCCAGCTATTGCTGAAAGACTAGGAACATGGAATGGAAACTCAGTTGGTAAGGGTGAGGGGTAAGGAGTTGGGAAGTAATTTATTTCCTCTGAACAGTTTGCTAGAAATTTGCATTTAAAAAAGTCAGCAAGTAAAAGCTTGCAGTGTTTGCTAAAAGTCATTTGCCCACCCACTGATCTTTTGTCATATCTGATTTGTTTTGAAAGATCATAATCCCAGAAAAAGTAGATCAATGTTGATAATAAATAAGAAAAACCAAAAAGTTGTACTTTAAGAAAAAAACCCCACACTTTGTACATGAATGAAGATGACAGACAAGTACACTCTTAAATTATTGCATATTTGGGGTAAGTTTTTTGTACTGAATAAAATGACTGAAGGTAAAGTCACAAGAATGCTTCTGGACCTAGGTGGTGTATTTCTACTGTGAGGACAAGAGTATGATCAGTCATGGTGGCTAATGCTGAAGGAAAAATGTCCATAGCTCGTAATATTTTGTTTTCTTAACATCTTTGTAATATAATCACACAATCTGCTAGAAACAGATTCTATCTAATATCTCAGAGAACTCGAGCCCAAGAAATCTGAATCTGTCTCAAGACCAAACAGAAATCCAAAGTAACGAGTGTCTAGAGAAATTTAAATTCCAGATATACAGATCAACTTAGCAATTTTAATCTATATTATTTTTAAAGAATCACATCCACAAAAATCCTACTTCTGAATTTTAAATATGACCCATATCCATCATGGTTTCCACTGTATTTTTCTTTATTGTGAAGTGCTCTACTTCTTTAGTGAGGTCAGTTTAACAGGTGAATATAACAGCAGAGGTAGAATCAGCATGCTAGTTTTAACAATATGTGTTCAGCTGGTATTTAGAAAAATGTTCAGTTCATGCTTTGATGGTGTCTGTAGTCAGCACTTGGTAATTAGAACCATAAACAACACGCTTCAAAGTTGCTAGCCACAGTCCGATTCTAATGTGTCATAAGCAGTTTCACGTTACTGGATTACAGCACCAAAATGATTTATTTTGGAGGAAGAACTGAAATGTACTTAGCCTAGTAATCAAATCTATGCTGATTACTAACGTAATTGTTATAAGTATTTTGTGTTGAAGTGTTGCATTTCTTTTTCTGAAGTACTTTTAAAAATAAACAATGGCAATTCTACAATGTGTTTAACAGCAACTGTATATCTAAAGTTCCGTTACTTTCTTCCCTCAGTCTTCAATATTGAGGAAATATGCACAAAAACATTTTATCATCACAGGTTATTTACTATTGCTGTCTAGCTCTCACCCAAAGTGAAAACTGTTTTATGATTGTACATTTTGCTGTTAGAATTAATCTCAGTTTTATAAAAAAAGATTAGACTGTGAACAGGTTAACCAACTTAATTCCCATTTTGTCAGCAGAAGAACAAGAAGAATAGTCATATGATGTCTGCAGATAAAGAAATAAAAATGAAGTGTGTTTTCTTGACTACATGGACCCTCATCTTGTGAGCATGTAAGCCTGTACATAAGCCCATGCTTAAATTCAGCCATCCAAGTATACCACAGTAGTACCAGGGAATCAACTGTTAAATCATCAGTTGGGCAAAGCTTCTTAAGTAAAAGGCTTTGTTTTCGAAGTTGCTTATAAAATCTATGCATTGAAACATGATGCTCAAAGGACCCTTGTAAGTCATCAAGTCTACTCTGCTGCTACTGCAAGTGATCTGTCATAAAATACATATGGAAGTGTATAAAATCACAAAAAAAGACCATTTTGGTCTCACTGGTTTTACCACAGGACTCATCTAGTGACTTAAACCTTTCTTCTAATTTCCAGCTGAATTTATTGATGGCTAACATTGTTCTACAATTCACATGGCTCTTTTCTGACTTGATACTCAGATACCTGTGTGTTTAGAGATTGTAATTATACAAATATTTATGTTTAAAAAAGTGTTCCGTTACATGAGACTTAAAATTAAATATATAAATTTCTGATTTTTGAGCTGAACTTTTATTATTTACCTTTGCCTTCCACATCAACCAGAATTTGAAAATGTCCACATGTCGACCACATTGTATTGCCTTATCTCCAGTGTCATAGGATACATCATATTGTTTGTCTTGCTGGAAGAGATAGCCTGCACACATTTGATTGCAGCCTTGAAGTATACCCTGTAGTGAAAAACATGTACTTATATGGCATATGTGCATATGAAACTGTATGCATTGATAATATATTAAAAAAAATTATTTCAAATATATACAGAAGAACTGTTCTTTAATGGGCCAAATTATAAAATACTGACCTTGTTTTGTAAACCTGAGCCACAAAAATAATTTCATAACCTAAGGTGGTTCTCTTAGAAGTCCCTGAGCAGCCATATGGTTTTACACACCCACACACCCACACCTAAAAAAACATTCTCAGCTTAATTTGGATTCTTAGTTTTTGATACTAACTTTGTCCACTTCACTTTTAAGGCTATGTTCTTAGGACTTAAATTTTTGATGTGTTAAATTACGCACTAGAATAAAGCTGTGGTCTCTCAGTGCAGCAGATAGCTACAGAAAATGAAGAAGAAAAAAAAAGTAATTGAAGGCTTTAACTTTATATATTGTCCAGCTTTATGACACTTAACATTAGTGATAAATATAAGTACAAATAACCTAAACCAGACATTTTTTGCTTACAAATAAATATGGTCCTCAGACCAACAGAAACCTATGGATTCCTGGTAAATATCTCTGAAGGAAACACAGAGGGGAGCAAATTCCTGTATGTTACACAGAATTCTTGAACATGTGACATTTCTAAAACGGTCTGTGCCTCCTTTAGAGTTTATTAGTGGTTCTTTGAAGGAGCTTGAAGACACTGGTGTATCTGATAAATACAAAACCACCTATCAAAATTCTCATATAGAGAATAAAAAATGTTGCCAAAATCCTGCAATAGTTAGCATGATAAGCATGCATGCCACTAAATAATGGCTAGTGCTTCCCTCCAATGGATGTCAAACTGTTTTATAAAAGGAAATAAATGCTGCAGTCCTCAGTTTAGAGATGGGTCACCTGGAAGAGCAATGACAGACCTAGGGCTGGAACCCACAACTCCTTCATCCCAGTTCTATGCACAGGGACCACTTCTTCAACTAACCTCTTCTAGCAGCAATTGACATGCCAGAAATTAGTAGACAACAAAATTAGTCCTATCCACAGATGATAGGACTTTTTTGTCATCTAAGGAAAATACATATTGCTTAAAAGAATTAAGACACTGGTCTTACTTTCATTGATGACAATGAAGTATCTAGAAGAAACCCCTAAAAATATACATGGAGTCATAATAAAAGCAGCATGTTTTCTTTTCAACAGAACTGAGAAACTTTTAAACAACTATGCAATGTAAAAAAGTTGCTTTTTATTTAAGCAGTTTAGACTGTGACAAATTACTAAGACCAAGAGTGTATGTTCAGTATATCACAGAAACAATGGGGCAGATGCTCAGATGAAATATTAGCATGGCTCTAGTGTTGTTATTAGAATATGCAAAGATTCAACAACTAAAGATCTAACCCATATTGTCTGCATCTTCAACAAACAAAAAAAAACCCCAAACCCCCCCAAAACAGAAAAGATAAAAAACAACTTCCTAAAGACAATGTAAATCCACACAATTATTCCTTCCAAAAGAAGTTTTGAAATTAAATTGATTTTGCACTACCCTCTTAAAAACAAGGGGTTGATGTTTTCTTCCTTTTTTTTTTTTTTTTTTTTTTTTTTAACTGCTTTATTATTAAATATAAGGCAGACCTTCTCCCGGACAAGAATGGCAGAACATTGTAACAACACTCCCATCATCTTATGTGGATTCCAAGTGACTGAGTTGGCTCTGCAAAAAAATTACACATTCAGATAGGTTTGGAAAACAGAAATTTAACCTAAAGCAGTCACCTTTGTTTTCTGCTTTCAGATAGAACTGTATGGAGTTTTGACCATGATGATTTCACTATGGAGATTATTACTGTCTCAAGTGTCATCTTTCCCAGCTATACTGTCCAGGAAAGGAATTTTTCATGCGTTAACATTGCAATGTCAGACTTCTGATTCGTTTATATTATTACTAATACCAGCTAATTAGTGTCAGACTATGCTGATTAGCTGATACAGTAACTTCATCCCCAGAAGACTCCACTTCTAGAAATAGCACTAATAAAACTAACAAAAACAGTTTGACAGGTTATATCAATTCAAGGTACTGATTGGGAGAGGGGGGTGTCAGAGAATTAAGGGAATAACATGAATTCTGGGACAATACAGTTCTTTACCGAGCAGCTGCTGCAGAAGTTGAAAGCAAAGGAAAAGACACTCCTCGTACTTACCTGCTTTTCCAGTTAGAGCCACAACAGACCTTTTCTGTACTAGCTTGTCAAACCCATGGACTGTTAAAAGCTATAAAACTACGTCACAATCCTACCATTCTGTATGTAAAGCTTAAAACTTTTTACGTGTAAACACGGGTGGATGCACAAGATCACCTAATTTACTAGCCAAACAGATGAGCTGTTCTGTATTATTAACATACTATCCTAGACAGTTTAATGATGACGCCAAAATAAATGTGCCAACATCGCACATCCATTGACCTCTTTACCCTAAGTAATTAATTAACAAATGTCCCCTTGATTCACTGTGTGTTCCAGAGAAGGAAAGTGTATAATCATATTTCACAGACTATGCATGTGTTCTTACAATGTCATTGAAAGAAAATGCAAAGGTTTTCCTTCTCTCCTACAGCCTGCTCTCAGAGGACACAGACACAAGCACAGTTCCTCTGTTTTGAGCAACACAATGACTCCTTCATGCCAGTCTGAGGACCACTAATTCCATAAAGATTCCAGATATGATTCCAACCTCTGTCTGCACTAAGTTAGACCGCAGCACCCCTCAGCCAGAAGAACAGCACAGTCTGTGCTCTAACTGGGGAGCTCACCACCCTTCTAAAATCTCCTGCTTAGGCAATGCAAACCTGCAGGTATATAGCTCAGACTTCGGAGGCAATTACCTTTTAAAAAAACTTCACTAATATTTCAGATGGACTAGTCAAGAAACAGGAATTTATATAACAGCTCATTTCCTTTTGAGAGTGCTGTGGTTTCAGTTGAGCTCATTTATTTAATTTTCAGGGTTCCAAACAAAGACAATTTCAAGTCATTTTCACATGGAGCATTAGGTTTATTTTAACGCGAAGATGTCACCCTCTACCCTGCACAGCCAGAGGCTATCCCACACAGGCAATCCCAGCTCCGTACCACGGCAGCGTGCCAGTCCTTACACACTCATGTCTCCAGGCAGGCCAAGTCTGGCCTGAGTGTTAACAACAGACCCCAGCTGGGGCCCGTGATGGGCAACTACACAGCACACGTGGGCCCCATCCCACATCTGCAGATCTGTACAGCTGACCAGAAAAGAAATAATATCACGCTTTGTGGCCTGCAGCTTTATGTATTTGCTTAAGATTACGGTCTTAATTAGCACCTCTGGCTTGACCTCAGGTCAAAAGAGGTGTGCAAACTACTGTGACCAAACCTGTGTAGCTTAAGGAAACCACTTTACAATGCTGACCTCATATTAGACGTGTTGCCATAACATGAGTGACTAGCAAATTGGACTGGGCAGGGGCTGATACGATTCTGCTACTTCAGAGCACTCCTCCCCCACCAGACACGGCTGTCCCTGCGACAGAAGGGTCCACATGGTTTTTCTACCAGTTCTTCTGTACATTATTTTTTATGTTGTACCTGCTCTTCACTTACTGTATGAGATGCCCACCACTAGGAAAGGTTTTTTTCCCCCCTAAGGAAGAGCTTTACTCAATGCTCTCATTTTATGCCTTTACACAGTGCCCACATTCAGCACCGTTGACTCAAGGAAGCAATTTGGTGCTAATTTGAGAGTACATGGGTAGAGCTTGTTTCAAATCTGTTTTGCTTCCCTGGAAGCTGGTATCTGCAAGGATGGGAAACATGTTTCTGGTTCTTCATCGCTTTTCTGATTTTTATTCAGACAGGCAGCCTTTTGTGGTAGAGCAGTTTCAGAGGAAATCCAGAGACAAACACGCCCATGGGGATATAAACATAGCATCTTCTACAGACTACAGCCTTGTCATCACTGGATATGGGAACAACTGTGCCAAAGACTACACACAGGACTCCTCCTAAGTCTGAATTGTAAGGGCTAGGGGGAGAGACACACTCTTACTCTGCTATCACTTTCAACACAAATGCTTTGCCTTTTCAAATTTGGTTCAATTAATTATTTAATAAAGGCTGGCTTCTGGTCTCAGTGGGCACCTTGGTAACCTGGGTTATGTGCTTGGGGGCACATATGCACTCTTTTCTGCAGACTTCACTCTGGCCTCTACAAGAGCTTCCTGCTTGTTTCATGTAATCGCCGCGTGGCACCAACTCATAAGTCCCTGTGCCCTGAGACACGGTGAGTATCTGTGACTCTTTCTGGCCTCCCTGTAAGTTCCCTCAGACTTCTGCCTGGCACAGTAGAATTGTACCAGCTCTGTGCTATCATAGTCTTTTCCAGCCTTATAGGTACTGAAATTTTCCCTTAAAAATTGCTGCCAATTCAGTCTCTACCATGTGTTCCTCTCTTTGTTGTATACACGTATATATTTATGTGTGTGTGTATAGATAAGCTATACAAAAGCAAGCATATAAATATATTTATAAACTTTCATTTATAGAACACTCCTTTTCAGGCAGAACATACACTCTTTATTTTCTGGAAATAACTGCAAACATCTTTCAGGAGAGAGTCTCTACAAATTTCCACCATGTCATGGCTTCCCATCATAGGTATTCATACTCAAACACCTTCTCTGGATTCCTCATTTCTCACCGCTATTCTCAAAGCCCTACATTTCAGAGATTGTCTAGCTCTCAGACTTTGTTTCTTCCTCAAATCCTCCTTCACCCATTCTCAGACTTATGATCCCTTCAAAGCTATGGATAGAACAATCTCCCTTCCTTTTTGCCAGCCAATACCCCTGTCCTCCTTCAAATCTGCTGAAAACTTACCTTTCACTCAGCTTCACTGTTTTCTTCTGTAGTATTCTTTCAATCTTCCTAGTATGAACCTTTCCTGTATGTCTTGCTTTTGTTTAATTTAGTGTTTAAACTCCTTAATGCAGCAAATTCATCTTTTCATTAATTTGTGAAGTGTCATGTACCTTATGAAAGCACTTTAATAACAGTATTACAAGTAAGCACTGTATAGTACCTTTCTATTCCATTCAATTTATGACGATGCTTTCGGGACATTAGAAGTCCACCTCCCCAGGCAGCCTGGAAGAGACAGAAAAAAGAGAAGACTCGTTGTTTTGGAAAAGCCTAACATATTTTAATTTACTTAGGATCTAGTAATAAATATTTTAATTCAAGACAAAAATGTGTTAAAAAAAATTAATCCTCTTTTGCCTGAAAAACAGCACTTCATTTAGTTACTTACATCTACATGGAGCCAGAGGTTGTATTTTTCACATATATCTGCAATCTCCTGTATTGGATCAAAGGCTCCATATACTGTTGTGCCTGCAGTTGCATTTACAAAAAGAGGACTGTATCCCTACAATACAAATAAAAGTATTAAATACAAAATTGAACCTCTTTCAGAAAAAAAAATACGTGCAAATCATTTTAGAAATGTTGCTATCCCATTTTCCAGCCTAAAAATGTTTTTCTTTCCATGTGAAAGGTACATATAAGCAACAGTAGAAACTAACAAATTGTATACATAGTAGGAACAAACTCCGATTTTATTGTACTGTAACTTCACAAAATTAACTAGTCAGAAGGTAAAGAATATTATTTTGTCTAACCTCTCTCAGTGAGGAGATTCAAACATCCTAGTAGAAGACTAGCAATAGTCAAGTAAAGTTGAGACTTTTACAGCAGCATAAAGGAAAATTAATTAATGTGATTTGTAAGTTGTGATTTGAAGGCTTGAAGTTGTTCTTTTAGTCTTTATCTACTAATAAACAGAACAAAGCAGAACAAAGCAATCCAAAATAAAAGCAATAAATGTGGAACTATCAAAGTGAGTCAATTATGATTTAGATTAAATAAATGCGAACTTCAATTTCATAGACTGCTCAAATGTAAAGAAGTAAAAAAATAATAATCTTGATTGCTCTAACTTTAGTGGGTTTATAGAAAATTAATGCATTTTTCATTGCATTGATTCAAGAAACAACAATGAAAGCCTCAAAAAAATTAAACTTAGTGGCTATATTTACTAACGCTGCAGTCTCACACTTGAAATCTGTGGGAATTTTTAGGACTTCAATAGAATTTTTGACGGGTTTGGCTAAACTTTAAGGTTTGGATAAAAGTAGGTTTAGTTTCATGTTTTCATACTTTTTTCCATATATTTCCAAACAGAAAGTTATTTTTAAAAGTCATAAAATACAGATGTGGTTCAAGAGTTAAAAATACTTTGTTTTTAAACAGTAAATGGAAAACTTAGCAAGACATATAGATAATTCCCTAAACAATATATGAATGTATAATTAAGCAGCTGAAAATATTATTATAACATTTATATCATTACAGTCTTCTCTTTTAATATTAACCCTCAGCCTTCAAAGGAAGAGGTAATTTTACTAAGTCAAGCATTTAAGCACTGATTTTTAAAAACACAAACCTTTTGTTTTGCTTCCAAAATTTTTGCCTCCAAATCAGCTGGTATTATTTTGCCTCTGTAATTATTGTAGAAACAGAAAGACAAAGAAAATTTAAGAGTGCATATGGAAATACTAGCTACAGTTGAAATAATTTAATAGGATTTTCTCAACAGGCCATTAGCAACTTGACACACTGTACTGAACCAGTCCTTAAGCACAATACAACAAATTTAACAGATGAACACATTTAATATATCAAAACTTTAGCATTCATCCTACCTTTCATTGCATTTTATCAAAATCACATTGTCTGTTCCAAATCCAAGTGCAGCTCCAGCTTTCTTTATTGAGTAGTGACTCTGCAGCAAAACATAGGCACATTTAATGGAATGGTTGTTTAATGATGAAACATCTTCACAACATACATCAATAAATTAAGAATTAGCAGTGTATTAAAAGCTCACATGTTCCGAGGTAAAGAGAATCAGTTTAGGGACTGCAGCCATGCCTTTGGTTTTGACTTCAGGGAAATACTTGTAGCGTGCAGCCATTATGCTGTACATGTTGGAGATGGCTCCTCCTGTGAATGAACAATAAAATAGTGATAATGAGAAAAAACGCATATTAGACCAAAGACATACAAGTCTCATTTGCATTATGCAGTGGAAGTGGCAGTGAACTATGGAAAAATAAATCTCAGAAATGCATGGTCATCTGTTTAAACAGCAGAGGGACAGACCCTCTAGAAAGTCATACTGATAGAATTTCCTATCCATCATCTCTTTCAATTGCTAACATTTTGTAACACATTCCTTAAAAGTTCAGCTTTCACTGTGCTGCTTTTTCATGACAACTTCTTGTTAGCAAGAAAAACAGGAAGTTATCAAATGGTCTGACACTGAAGAAATGTCACATACTGGATGGATCTATCCCATCACACTGTAGGTACAGAAGTAGATGCCTTAAAGGTAGATTTCTACAGCCGAGCTAGTTATTCTAAGCTTCCTCATAGTCAGTTAAGGGAAAGAGGAACTTTGCTGGCTATGATTCAGCTAATCTATTTTGACACTTACTTTTGAAGAAAGTGAATTGAGGGAAAGCACCTATTTCTCTTGGTTTACTGCTAAAAAGAGCCCAGGACAATTAGCTCAGTTCTACAATGCAGGCCTCAAGATTTAGTAAGATGAATCTCATCCATAAAATCTAGGATAACTTCCTCCTCTAATATTTCTTCATCAACAAGAACACTGAGAAAGATCTGTATTCTTCTAGCAGATGAGACTGGAGACGAAGCAAGTGTGCAGTCCTGGATTTTATGTGGGCTGTTCCAAAAGGAGGTGGAATTGTCCTTCATCCTCTGAAACAGGATGGTGTCGCCCCATGCCAAACGCAGAAATCTGGATTTCTGCTGGGCACCCACGTTGTCCACACGTGGGTCCAGGACCTCCACATGGTTTACCAGTCTTTTCAGTCACCGCTGACTGCCTTTATATCACGTTCATGGGAAGACGCTTTGTCTTGGTCTTCATACTGGAATCATACTTGTGAATCCAGTCAGATTAAGTCCCAGATAATATGTCCCAGAAAGTGACAGGCAGTCAGTGTCTTTTTCTGACTGTCAGCCCAAATCTTCACTGACTACCAAAGAAGTCAGTACATGATTCTCAAGGGCTACTGGTCAGCAGGAATTGTGGTTGCTCAGCACCTCCAGAAATCCCCCTCCCCCAACTTTTGTGTTTAAACAAAGCATTCCTACTTCTAAATATCTGATGCATTGTTTTGTGTTGCAGATATCGTGGACATTCAGACACAGCTTATATATATTTTAACTTTTGAAGTTCTAGTCAAACCACCAAAACAGAAAGAAAAAACTCACCAGGTGAGAATATTCCATCACCATCTTTATTTGACCATCCAATAATCTCTCTCATCTTTCGAAGTGTTATTTGTTCCATGAGAACAAAAACAGGGGCAATTTCATAGGTAAACCTGCATGGATAAAGCAAGAAAGCCCACCAAACAAAATAAAATACAGATTCTAAAAACACACAATAAATTCCCAGTCTATGATTCTTTGTGAAAATGCTTAAAATTCCTAAAAGTTTTTCTATAAATTGAGGTTCTGATATTGCAACCTTTACCCAAACAATAATCCTCAGGAACACAATACTGGAAATATTGGTCAATAAAAACTGCAGTATTATCTCTTTTGCAACTTTCTATATAACCAACATAAGACCTAATGCTCACCATCATAGCACTGCCGACTGCTGCACAAGATTGTACTGTAAAACATTTGTTTCCCAAAGTGCCAGTTCCACACTTGTGGAGTAAGACATTGCCAAATCCTTATGAAAACAGTGAACTACACTGAGCTAAACACAACCATAATTAGAAGTATTGAGCCAAGCCTTCAAAGTCTAAATATAATTAATTATGTGGATTTATTCTGTTGATGAACTCCAAGGACAACTTATTTCTACAATACCATGCGATCAATAACTGTCAAGAGTAATTATAAATGATGATTTTCTAATTACCAAAAACAAGTCAGCAGTCAACTATTGTATCCACTTCATGAGGGCAAAAAACATTGCATAGTCTGGTATGCCCTGATGACACAGACAGATATGTGGATGGAAAGTGACAGCCATACAACCATTTTTGATGATTAAGGTACATGGATAAATTGCTACTGCTGTAAACAAACTCTGCTTGCTGGGTATGCCAAAAAAAAAAAAAAAAAAAAAGTAAGAAAGGAGGAGGGAAATGGAGGCAGAGAGAAACTAAACAATCAACCTGTGATTTCCAAAGGAATCTATAAGAATATGACACCCTGACACTCTGGTCTGACTCATGTCTTCCACTTGAATAATTTCACCAAAACATGTGTTGTCTCTCTAATACCAAAATGACATTTTGAGAATGGCAAACTTTAAGATGATGTGATATGAAGAAGCAAATGTGTGTCTGAAAAGCTTTTATTTACAGCTACACTGGTTAGTTAAAATACTAATTTTTTTCTTCAATCCTTATGTGTCCTTAGTCCACCACTACTATTTTTAAAACATTCCTTTAAGATTAAGCAGCATTTGTAATTTAATTGTTGTAATTACTATTTTCAGAACCCAAAATACTGCTTATTTTGCTTTTATTATGACTAGAACTGTCAGAGACAGACAGTTGAACACCGATCTGAAGTTTGGCTGCTGCCAATATTTACAGAGACACAAAATTAATAAATCAGTTGGTGTCTGCTAACAGTGGGGGGGTTTCTTGTTTTGTTTTTAAGCACTACAAGTCTAGGATATATTCCAATCTTTACTTAGGCAGAATAACCAACTGAAGTCAACAGGAACTTGGCAGTGTACAAGATCACTGTAGCCTAATACAAAATCCATTTAAGTCAATGTGATTTTTTTCCACCAGTTTAAACACATCTTGATTTTTGTCCTGAGACCTTGGACACTAATCTCTACATACTTCCCAGAAAATTAAAAGGCTTATAAAAAAAAAAAAAAAAAAAAAAAACGTTAAGCAAGTTTTCTGTATATAAAATATCAAGTGTTCACGAGGGGAATTTTGAATATACTTAAACCCAAGTAAAATACTTATTTCATTATGTAATTATTTTCTGACTCTCCAAAGACTGACAAAGAAATAAAAGAAGATTGCAGACAATTATAAAGTGTAAGGCCAATGCAGCTATATTAGATGATGGCTATTATTTTAAAAATCGCATCTCGCTAAAGTTCACTCCAACCTATTTGTTTTAAACTTAAATGATTTTGAAAAATTCAGTTAAACGCAGAAAATGTGTTTGGCTTAGAAGGACCTGTCCAGCTTTAGAACCAATCTCCTGACAAAAAATGCTAATTAGATTTTTCGTACAGTTACAGTATTTACAGGTATTTCTATGAATTAGCTAAAACAGTCACAAGTCTCAGCTCTTTACTAACAGAATAAATGAATGAGGTTTTTGGTAGCGGCTAGTGCTGCCTTAATTCTGCTCTCACCTAAAGGCCAAATCATTCTAGCTACCTGTTCTCCAGTACATAAAAAACATTCTGAGAATAAACGTAAAGCATTTTACACCATTTTTCTATGTTACATTTTCATAACTATAAATGCATAACAGTCAAAATACCAATACTATTCTCTTGTCTTGGCTAACAGTGGGCATAAAGAGAACTTCCAGATAATATTATTGCTTTCTAACCTCAGCTGGCTGCTGCATGGTGAGTGAATGCCCTGTAGTACAGATCCCTAGAGCTGGGTGAATAACGGCAACTTCTGAAATTTCCACCCTGAAGGTCTTATGGTTAGCGATTAAGCTATGAATAGCACATTGATACGTTATTTCCAAGTCAATGTGGGAAGCTTACTATGTTTAATTTAGTATGTTAACTTCAGAGTGACATTTAAGTAGTATTTCCTAATGACAATTTAAAATTTTAAGAGAGCACAGGTGTTTTGATTACTCAAAACTCATTTGTGAAAGAAAACACATTTTTTAATTGTTTGCAAATATTTTAAGTATTGTTTATAGGTAGAAAACTAAAAATGGCAAATGGAAAACATTCCCTACCATAATCCAGTGTTACTGTAGCTTGTGTGTTACATGCTTGTGCAGCTGAAATAGGTTAGAACAGTTTCTAGGTAAAGGTCAGAACCTGCTCTTCTGTGCTGGAACACTGCTCAAAACAAATAATATGTTCCCTAGAGCTGACAGAGACAATTTGGCTATTTTTAATAACCTTCTCTGTCAGTTCTTTTGAATGATATTTTACAAACATCTTGCTTTAACCTTACTTGCAATTATTGTGTTATTTGAAAGCATATCATGTTGACCTTGGTTTGCTGAAAAAAAGAGAACAATGCATTATTTTGAATTTGCTAAACCTCATACAAGCAAATAGATACTCAATTTTCATGCTTGCAGAGTATTTTCAAGATATGTTCTTGTTTAAAGCATAAATGGATCAGAAACTAGCTTTATAGAAATAGCTATTTAACAATTTACTTTTAAAACCAAAGGAAAAAGCAACCTCATTTAAAAAAAAAAAAAATGTTACTCTTTCAGAAGTGAATGAGTGCGATGTTCTTAATAATGATGGCAATATTTCATAATACTATCACAGTCTGCCACAGAGCTGAATTCTATTATGTCCTATCAGATTTGTGCAATTTCACTGATTACAAAAGGGTAACTAAGCTAGGATAACTTAGTTGGTCAAAGGAAAAGGGGCTTGCAAAAAGTGACAGTCTCTGAAGTATGTGTTTGTCACAGAGGAACAATATTTATGCAAAGTTTTCTTTTAGAAATGTAATCAGGTTTGTTTTCAGTTTCAATTGTGGTATAAAAAAAAGAAAGCACTTTAAAGCACTTTGCAATACTTGTTTTATGATTAAAATATATGTTGCTGGATCTTCTTCCCAATCAGCTTTTAAATCTGAATGTCTTGCACCAATTTTTAGCAAACAGAGAATTAATTGAGAAGATGATTATTACAAAGAGCTGGCTGGTTTTGGCTGGAGCACCTTATGTATTTTTCTTTATTGCTAATATCACAAAACAAGCACAGCTCATAATCCACATAGAGCTGCTAGTAATCAGCTATACTTAATGAACCATATAGTCATGGATAGGCCAGTGAAAATATTGTTCATTTTCCAATCTGCAGATATATTTCCTGCGTTCTGCCAATTAGCAGCAAACTACCCAAAACAGAGGTAGCTTTAGAGTTAAAACACATCCAATACAGGACTAAACCAGAGCAGTCTGTTACCTGCCAAATATTTCGTCTCCCATTGCATTTTTGAGCATATACAAATCCACATATAAATAAAAACTGGCTAGAAGTTTTTTGGTTTGGTGGGGTTTTTTTCATTAATTACCCTCTTTGTTGCATGTATTCAACATAATACCTTACGTTTACATCTAGCTTTCATTAATTTTGAGGTCAAGAAAAATTAGGAAAAGTTTCCTCACTGATATGTTCTAGATGTAAAATTTTACTTTTTTTATACTTCCATTTATTCATTTACACACAACTTTAATAAATCTTAGACTAACTCCATTATTATCAAATTAATTTTTAATGTTACATTTTTAATCATTTGGAAGCCATCCAGAAGCCACTTCTTTACCAGCACACGAACAGGAGAAGGTGGTGCCCCAAGCCTACTACCTCTGAAGTCAACAGGAAAAAAAGACAATAAATTTGTATGTATTTTGTATATTAGTGTTAATATATGGATAGCTGCAGAATTACTCAGTCTAGGGACAAGGCTTAAAAAACAAAATCAGAAAGAGATAAAGAAGATTGGTCCAAGAGAAGAAAAATAATTTCATGTTATCATATCAGAATCATCATGTTTTACTTACCATGTGCTCTAGGATATTTGCATTTCTATTTATCAGAAACGTAAAACCGTTCAGCTTTATATAACAGTTTTCACTGTATTACTGCCACATTAAGAAAAATATAAGACGCTTTTATTGAAGATGCAGCGATCGTCATTTGAAGAAGAAAATTATACACGCCTGTGACAATACACGTCTACCATGATAGATGGCAGCCCCTGTAAGCACCAGTCACAGACGCTGACAAGAAGACGCTGCTTACATGTTTGTATTAGCGGTTGATGTCAGCCACTCCCCAGCCAAACCAATAATGTCCAGTCCTGTGGACAGCTGGTTGAAAAAGCGAGGATGACCTGGAAAGAGAATGGAGAGCAACTTAGAACAACTCCACCGGTGTCGCTCGGTTTCAATTCTAAACCGCCCAACCCCCTTGACAGGAGGGCCGGTTCCGCGCTCATAACACACTTGCGGAGGCGGTTCCCAAGCGAGTCCTCCTCGTGGGGAGGCCGCTAACCAACATTCACGGACGCCCCGTCACGAACTTGAAAAGCCGCTTTGGAGGGAACTCCCGTATGGCGTATCATTGCCGTTTAAACTACAGGAGAGAACCCCAGAGCCGACCGAGCCTGGAAAACACCTCCGGAACCTGTGCAAGGGCTCGGAGTAGCCCGTCTCCAGAGCCGCCCCCCCCACCTCCGCCGCGCTGCGAACGCGGGGGGAAAGGGGGAGCGGGAATACCCGAACACCTGGCGGTAACAGCCTGCGGGGGG